GCGCCGCTATATTTAAAACTTTTTTTAAGAAATTTTCGTTTCGGTTTAGGAATTGTTAGATCAGTTGCTGTGTTTCGAAGATGATAATTAGTTTGATCTATTTCTTTTCTCACGAATGACCCCCGGAGACCTGGCGCAGTGTGGTCGTTAAGTATTTTATACATTAATACTGACTTGGCACCAGACCGCCTATTTTCAAGTGTATCCCAAGAAAGTATGTTGAGAAGATCAGCTGAGCGAGTATCATAATTAGCACCCGTTAGGACTCTTGCTGCACGAGACTGAAATCTTTACAACTTGTCTCTTAGCAACTTACCACAAGTGTCCCAAAGGGGGGAACAATAATCAAAGTAGGGCTGCACAAGACTTTTATAAATCGATTCTAAGGTATGCATTGGAACAAAGGGCTTTATACGTTTCATAGCGCCAATAGCAGCGCTCGCCTTCTTGCATATCATTTCAATGTGACTATCCCAATTAAGGGTTTCATCTAGTTTTACTTCTAGGCACATTTGTGTAGCAATTCGTGATATGGGTTTTGCATTAGCCACAACGGGTTCCTCACACATTATATTATTAAGATTATACGGGGAGCCAATAAACATCATTTTACATTTTGATGGATGCATCTGCAGCCTATTTTCTTTAAGCCAGTTACAGACATGGGCAAGATCTGAATTTAAATTTACAACAAGTTCGTTTGCATCGTAGGAAGATGAAATGATTTTAGTATCATCCGCGTACATGCATGGATTAGTTGATTTCAAACAATCGGGCAAATCATTAATATATACTAGGAACAGCAGTGGTCCCAGTATAGATCCATGGGGCACTCCACAGGTGATAATTTTATTACTAGATAATTCTCCATTAACATTACATTGCTGTTCTCTATTTGTTCAATATGACTCAAACCATTTTAATTCTACGCCAAAAATTCCAAATTGCTCATTCATTTTATTTAACAAAATGCGATGGTTTATAGAGTCAAATGCCTTTTTGATATCTATGAACACAACCCCATTTAACTTTCCATTGTCCATATTTTCTAGCCACTCATCACACATTTGGATGAGGGCAGTTACAGTTGAATGCTTTGGACGAAATCCAGATTGAAACTTTGACAGAAGAGAGCTTTCAGACAAGTATCTATATACTTGACGGAAAACTTCCTTCTCAAAGGCTTTACTCACCACCGGTAAAATTGAAATAGGCCGATAGTTCTCACATTGTCTTTTATCCCCGGATTTAAATATTGGCGTAACACGAGCACGCTTCCATTCATCTATATATATGCCTGTTGCAAGCGACAGATTGAAGATGAATGTCAACGAGGGTGCAATTATGTTTGCAGATAATTTTAGAATTTTAGCAGGAATTTTATCAAGACCTGTTGCTTTACATGCTTTTAGGCCTCTTAGGGTCGAGGCAACACTATCAACGGATATTGGAGATACTTTAAAAAAAGTATCTGAGGATTGATTAATATTATAGTTTATGGGCTGATTATCAACATTACTACAGGACTCGTCTACATATTCTGCTGCTAGCTTCGACCCAATACTAATGAAATAGTCATTAAATGCATCTGCAATAGATTTAGGATCCGAAACTAACGTGCTGTCAACCAGCAGCTCATTCACATTGTTGGATTTGTTATTCTTTCCCAATAATGAATTAATTAATTTCCAAGTCTTTTTAGGGTCGTTCATTACAGAGCAATCAGTGATTTTATCATGAAAATATTTTGATTTTACATTTCGCATTTCAACATTCACTTTATTCCGCAGAAATTGAAAACTTTCCCAATGTGGCTGTGAGGAATGTTTTATTGCATATTTTTTATGATAGTCTCTGTTTCTCATCATACATTTAATTTCCGGAGTAATCCATGAGACCGAGTTCCCCTTTACTCGCTTATGTCGAAGACGTGAAATCGAAGACAGAAATTTTGGTGACCTTTGAGATGTCAGCAGAGGTTTAATATAAGCTTCGTGCCATTGTTGTAATTTAGATTTGAGATCACTAAAAAAAGCTTCATCAAACTGAATGGGAAAATGTACCAGATTATCATCTGTAAAAACAACAAAATCTAGAACTGGCTTTCCTGACAGTCCCATTTGCACCTAAACTTGTTCATAATATCCCCGGGCATTTTCCTTCTTGAGATATGGTTTCTCATCTGTTGTTAAAGCATATGGGTATGATTTCAAGGACTGCCTGTCTTTGATTGCCTCAATCACCTTTCGATCTCTCTGGCTTGCCAAACCCTTGATTTCAAGCAGGTAAATAGTTTCTGGAATGTATCCATCTGGTGAAGCCAAAAGAATCCCAATCGATAAAGCTACCACATTCTTTAACAACTTGACCAGTTAGATCAGCAAATTTTTTCCGGGCATTCTCTGCATTTTTTATGCCATATAACATTCCAGGTGGGATGTTTTCCTCATTACGTATTGGCTGCAGATTCATTATTTTGTCAATAGGGGCCGGCCTTCCAACGTCTGTTGAGTGCAAGACCTTTCTGGCAGTGGATGATGTTATTCGGTACAGGCGATATTGATGCCACAGTGGGTTAGTTCTCTGGCCCCGAGTTACCTTTTCAATATGATCCTTTTGATCGATGCTTACTTCTGGGCATGCTTCCACTTCAGATTTGGTACTGGTAACTTGGTCAAACTGCTCACCATCCAGGGAGTAATCACTACAAATTTCACTGTTACTGTTCTGTTTGTATCTGTGTCTTAAGACAAATAGCAGATTTTCTTGTTGACGTGGAACTGATACAACTTAAAAGCCTTTGTTCTCGTTCCGAATTTGAATAGTTGGAAGAGTCACTCAATATGTGTTGGACCTTCTTAGCTATAACTCTACTATCTCTCCTTTGAGGATTTTTAACCTTTTTGTAGCAGCCTCAACCTTCATGCTGTTAATACTTGTGACATGCCCTTTCGATGGTTTATTTTTGTGCCATGTTTGCAATTGAGATATGCATGGTACTTCTAGTGTTAGGTTCAGGGCCTTTTTTAAAGATTTTCCCGTGGGGGGGGGGGGATTTTTTGAAAAGGGACTTTTCTGTGAGATAATATATTAGAGGGGGATAGCAATTGCTGAAGACAACGTGTGTGGCCAATATACCACTATACCAATATACAAAATTTTGAAATTTGAATCCCGGAAATGTCATTTCCTGCATTCTGAGCATCCAAATTTGCTCCAAAATTTATGTTAACTATACTTTTACTTGAAATAAATAAAGGAAAAAACGCACAAAAAGTTAAAAAAAATTAACCATCATTTATCGTTACTTATTAGAGGAGGATGGTAATGGTCAGGTGTGTGGGGGTGTACTCCCCCAGAAAATTTTTGAAATTTGAAGCACGGAAATGCCATTTCCTGCATTCTGAGCATCCACATTTGCTCTAAAATTTATGCTAACTATACTTGTATTTGAAATAAAAGATGGAAAAAATGCACAAAAAGTAAAAAAGTATATTAATTAACTGTAATTTATCATTACTTATTAGAGGGAAAATTCCCAGAAACATTTTGAAATTTGAAACTCGGAAATGCTATTTCCTGTATTCTGAGCATCCAAAAAATAAAAGTTATTAACAATAATTTATCATTACTTAGTGGTAGAAAAAAGTAACAAGTTAAATCGATTTTGTTATTAAACAATGACAAAGGATAAAGCCTAAATAAAACTTACTTTCCGTTTATGTATTTGTTAATCTTCACTGGTTTGTTTCTATAATTTTAGGGAAAAGGGACTTTTCCTGGAGGGGGGGGGGGGGGAAAAAGTGGTTTTTGGGGGGGCACAAGGGGGACGGGGTCATTTGCCCCCAAGCTTGTATGTTAAAAAAAGGCCCTGGTTAGGTTGCATGCCCTGTTGTGTTCCACTAAAGCATATAATGTAGCAGAAACATGGCTGCATAACCCAGATTTCCGGACTCGGCATCTACAAAAAGCTTGGATAGACTTGTTTTCATGAAAGGATATCCACAATGGTCTTGCTGGTTTGCCTTCCATACTCGGTCTTACAAATGCCTTCAACAAATTCTTATCCTGGCTTGTACAGGGGCGGATTTAGACCGTTGCAACCGTAGAATTTGCTAAGGTTAGATTTTCCCAAAATATATTTTTCCAGGGTGTACCTTTGAAAAATTAAATAAATAATTATACTAGTGCAAATATTTTCAATTCTTCATTGCTAGTTAGTGCAATTTTTTTCCAATTTACTAAATTATATTGATAAAATTTTCTCGAGTTTTTATTTCATTTTGGACAATTAAATTTGGGATTTTATCAAATTTCCACCCGAAAATACTGCCCGTATTTGCGGGTTATACAGCAATGCTAAATCTCATCATTCTGAAGTCGAAGCAAGCCATTGCAAACCGTAGCATTTGCCTCATTCTGATTGGCTTGCTTCGTCTAAGCGCAGCAAACCAATCAGAGCGCTGTATTTGCAAATTTTTGCAGTGGTCAGATTGAAACTGACCGTTGCAAAAATTCGCAAATACGGTATTGTGATTGGTTTGCTACGGTTAGACGAAGCAAGCCAATCAGAATGAAGCAAAATGCTACTGTTTGCAATAGTCGCTTCGACTTCAGAACGATGTTGACTTGTTATTGTCTAAATTTTAATCGCCGCTCGTTGCAAGGACAAAATATGGCGGATTCTACGTTTCCACTCGACGAGCTTCTGTGTATTATGAACGAACGTGTTTCTTTTAACGAAAAGGCGACTAAACTAGCCTCCATTAAATCTCTGCGTGAGAAAGTGGTTGTGGATGAATCGCGAAATAAGTCAGATCGAAACGTTTTGGTGTTCGATTCTTCTTATTTGCAGTAATTCCCGCGAAGTGAACAACAGTGCTGTTCGAATCACCTCCCTGTCAGGTCAGTCTTATGAATAATATATTACTGTAAATATGTAAATAACACAGGGGTTATTCTAAGGATAATTTACAACTCCAGTAAATAAAAAAAATTCTGCCACTTTGTTGAAGTATGAAGTCTTGAGGAGGAGATCTACTGTGTCGACGTGCATTATCCCTGAGAAGAACTAGCACGGCTAATTAAGTTTTTTGAATTTTGTGTGGTCTTCATCTTACTTATTCTCTAGTTACGCTGTATGTGACTCTGTCACAGCAACTGTTAGTCACTTTTCTGTGTGGTGACGTAAGACCCCACGTGTGATGTGACGCGCTGTTGCGCGAGGGCGCGAGCTTGAGCGCTCCACGTTTAAAGGCAAACTTTTACCGCTGCCTTTGAGAAATTTGCCATAAATATTTGCTGGATATTATATTAAAGACAAATCTACCTGGAAAGCATAAAGGATTTGTGAAGTTTGTACAGAATTGTCTGGATTTTTGAGGCGAAAATTTGTTTCGTGGCTACGATTTGTGACTTTCAGTTTGGAAATTCAGTTGAGACCGTTAAGAAATCCCGCAAGCATACGGCGCACGTGATTTCACATACGTCAGTGGCAAAGAATCGTTCCAATTATTGAAATTAATATTAGAACATTCAATTAAAGCTGATCTAACATTACTGATCGGAAATTGAACGTTTCTGGAATTCTTTAAACCCACATTAGCAACTGTTTTGCGTGCGTCTGGAACATTTATTCAACTTAACAAATAAAGAGTCGTAATCTAGCAATTATGTACATGGATACCATGAAGAAACTACGCAAAGAAAGACATTCGACGATTCAAAAACCTTTATTTATTTTCGCCATTCTCTGGTTGTTGTTTCTAAGCGTCAAACAATCATCACGCAACCCCACGGACTCAGAATCCACGTTAATTATAAGTCCAGAACTGGTAATTTTGCCCAACAGACTGTGCTCGATTTGGTTTACAACTCAAGATAAAAAGTCGAGAAAATTTAACTTACCAGATGATAGCTATCGATACGGTATTTGTTTCCAAATCGCAAAGATTACGAGTCATACGTTCATGTTGATCTTAATAGCTGGTGATATTGCAACAAATCCTGGGGCCGGTTGTATAAAAGTTTTGACTACATTTTAACTACTCGTTTTCTAGTTAAATAGTAGTTAACTGTAAAATTCGCGATTTTGAATGGTTAACTTTCGCACTAACTATAGTTAACTTTAACTACATTTTTATACAACCGACCCCTGGCCCTCCACAAGCTTCTAATGGTTACAATATTCAATGTCTTTACCTCAATGCGAGAAGTTTGAAAAATAAAACCAATGTACTTCAGACACTGGCAATTGATATTGACCTCTTAGCGATGACAGAAACCTGGCTTAAACCCGAGAACCTGGATAGCGAAATTCTTCCTGGCAACGATTTTAACATTCATCGGCGAGACAGGACTGACAGAACTGGTGGCGGTGTTTTACTAACTGTGCGTGAGAACATTCTGAGCATGAGACGACAAGACCACGAAAGCAGCCCTGAAATGTTGGTATGCGAACTTCGTCCCGAGTCGAAGAAAAAGATCGTAGTGATTGTTTTCTACAGACCACCAGACTCGGATTTAAAGTACATCAAAGAATTCAAAAAATCTCTTCAGCTCATTCATAGACGGAGTAAGTTTGATCAAATTATAGTTTGCGGCGACTTTAACTTACCAAATATTGACTGGACCACTGGAGTAGCGACTAACAACAATACAATTTATCAACACTTCACGAAAAAGATCATTATTTGCGGCAGGTGGTTGAATTTCCTACCCGAGGTGAGAACACACTTGATCTAATTCTTACTAATATACCGAACAAAATTCAGATTGTGACAGGGTTTGATGACGTCTTAACTACAGATCATAAACTCATAAGCTTTGAAATTAACATGAAAATACAAAGTAAACCAAGAGTCAAGCGTTTCGTTTATGATTTGGCAAAATCAGATTGGTCCAATCTTAAAGTATTACTTGCAAACACTCGTTGGGATTTGTGTTTTGTTCCCCGTAATATCGATGAGACACTTTCGAACTGGTGTGGCATGTTCCTTTCAACCGTAGATAAACACATACCAAAATACTGCATCAAGAGTGTGCATGACCACCCGTGGATAGATAAGGAACTACTCAGGCAAATTAAGCAGAAAAACATATAAAGAAGAAAGCATAAAAAATTTCCAAGCCCATCTAACCTAGAGAAATACAAAAACTTAAGGCGTTTAACAAAGCAACTGATCAATAAGAAAAAGAAACAATACAACATCAAGCTTACAGAGTCCTTGTATGAGAATCCCCGATGATTTTGGGCGGCTGTAAAACACTCAACGGAAAACCGAAAGAACATCAATTTCCTGAAAACTGAAGACTCATTTACAACGGACAAATTTGAGAAGGCAAATACTTTAAATACCTTCTTTCATTCTGTCTTCAACCCTAAGAGCTCGGAATCATTTAATAAATCTTCCTTACCCTCAACGTCATCAATGCCCGAGATTTCCAGTATCCAACTCTCGGAAATTGAAGTTGTTGGAGTTCTTCGCAAACTAAATTCACGAAAGGCGTGCGGTCCAGATAACATTCCGAACAGACTGCTGATCGAACTTGCGGACGTTATTACACCTTCGAAATGTGAAATATATATTTATCATGTCATTGAATCTTGGTGTAGTACCTCTTAAATGGAAAATGGCGAACATTACACCCGTATATATTCAAACGCGAAGATCCAACGCTGGCAATGAACTACAGGCCAATCTCACTACTTTGCACTTTGTCGAAAGTCCCAGAACGTTGCGTTCACAATCATTCTTACCAGCATCTCGAGCCACACATTTATCAAATGCAGCATGGTTTCATACGAGGAAAATCAACAACCACACAGCTACTTGGAGTATATCATGAAATTCTGGAATCAGTCGCAAGTGGGAATGAAGTTGATGCCATATACCTGGACTTTTCAAAGGCATTTGACAAAGTACCACATCATCTTCTTTTGCGAAAGCTCGAGACTTTGGGAATCAGGGGATCTCTATTATCTTGGTTCCAAAGCTACATCACAGATAGACAACAAAGAGTCGTTCTTCACGGCGTTTGCTCTGATTGGCTTCCCGTAACATCAAGTGTGCCACAAGGTTCTATACTCGGACCCTTGCTATTCCTTGTTTACATGTAACAACGTTCCAACCTACATCGAAAATAATTCCTCACTTGCGTTATTTGCGGACGATTCAAAGCTTTACCGGCCACTTTTGTTTCCCACATCTTCTACTTTACTTCAACTTGATCTTTCCAATATAACAAACTGGACTGCTGATAATCAAATGGAACTAAATGCAACAAAATGTAAGACCATGCATATCTCAAGAAAAAGAGCACCTACGCGAACTCAGTATTCAATCAATGAGAACATGCTCGAACAATTGTCGATCTTCAAGGACCTTGGTGTGCTCATATCCAACAACTTATCCTGGTCAAAGCACATAGAAAGCATTGTATCCAAGGATAATAAAACACTCGGTCTCATCAAAAGGATTTGTAAAGAAGTGAAGAATACCAACACAAGAAGAATTCTGTATTGTGCGTTGGTAAGACCCAAGCTAGAATACGCAAGCAGCGTGTGGTCGCCTTACACCATTAAGAATCGTTTGCTCATCGAGAATGTTCAACGGCGCGCCACAAAATTAATCTTGAATTATCCTGACAACATGTCGTACGTGGACCGGTTGCAGAAAACAAATCTTCTACCACTGGATCGGAATTCCGAAGAGAAATTTCTGATCTGATACTGCTGTTCAAATCCAAACACCACCTCATAACAATGGATATAAACAAATATATATGCACTTACAACCCCGGCTATCAATCTCGCAACTATGATGAAAATAACTTCCACCTCATTATAACCCATAATCAGGAATACTTTCAAAACTCTTACTTTATTAGATCAGCAAAACTTTGGAACAGCCTACCAACTGAAATTAAGAAATCCAGTAGTTTATGTTCGTTTGAAACTCGTTTAAATAACTTATATAGTATCAAGTCAAAACCATACAAACTTCCTAATAATATGGGAATATAACATTTTCAATTTACCAGATCCTGGGTAAATAATATTCAATGAAAACATCAAAATGTTGGACCATTGAGCCCCAGTGCGCCCTTAATATTTTTTTACTTGTCTAACGCCAGATGATCTTACTTGTCAAAGGGGAAGCTCTGCAGTTTAATGGGTTAACCAAAAAATCTGACAATGTCTCTAGTTAGCCCATTGAGTCGCAATACGTCCCAGTTTGCCCTACGTACATTTTTTTACTAGTCTAACGCCAGAAGATTTTACTTGTCATTGCATGGGGAAGCTCTGAAGCTTAATGGGTTAATATGTCTTTGTTACTCTGTATTTGCCCACCTTACACATGGTACTGCAAAATATTGATTGGTGCATAAAAGGTAATATCAGTGATTAATTAACTGATTCACGGCACCATTGGTCAGCTTAATTAATTTTATGAATGTATAATTATTTGTATAAGACTTATTATTACAGTATTTACTCAGGAGGGCCATGCAAAATATAACAAGGATAGATATGCACAGTATTCAATATTGGAAAACTAATTAAAATACAAGATTTACTATAGATCTATATAGTAATATCCTTAATTTTGTCTTTGGACAATTTCTACAAATGTATTGATTAGAGTTATTAACCCATTAAGCCAGCACTCTCCCCTTGAAGAGTTAAAATCATCTGGAATTAGACAGTAAAATGATAATTAAGTATGGTGCATCAGGGCACAATGCAACTCAATGGGTTAACTAGACTCATTTTCAGATAGGCCAGTAAGTTAACCCAGCACTCTCTCCTTGATGAGTAAAATCATCTTGAGTTAGACTAAATGATAAAGTAGGGCAGATTAGGGTGCAATGCGACTCAATGTTAATTTTGTCAACAGCCAATTTTTATCATACCATTCCTTAATTGACCGTGGCATTTCCTACGATAACACCTTACCTATTCGAAACCACTCGAATAGACTCAGCATGATTGCAAAGTTGGTCTACCTTGTCGTCTTACACTTGGATTATAAAGATATAGTCTAATATCCTCGGACATGCATGTACCTTATATGTTTGGATAGTTAATAGCAATAGTTTAATATTTTCTTAATTCCTTTACCATGTTCTGGATCCTGTATGCATGTTAACACTTTTTACCTTAGGCGTCTTATGCGTCGTATGTAGGTTTAATAGTCAAATTCAGCACATGACGTACCAGGATATTTTTATTTTCATATGATCATTGATTCCTTGTTCAAGTAGCACAAGCATGCCTGTATTATGTTCTATAACCATAATAACAAAGTGCAGTGATGAACGTGGATCATCTGCGTGGCAAAATTAACACCCGAACTGTGTATAGCTAACGATTGGCCATATCGTATCAATTCGTTTACTAATCTCTGTTTTGGCTTTGTCATATATGTACATATTTTAGTTATTACTGTATATTCATATTTTTTATAAATCAAACCCTGCAGGGTGTAATCATTAATTTTATCCCTTACGAATCACTCATTGGCCACATGTCCCTGTCAATTAAGCCCCCTTCACCATATTTGGATGCAACTATATATGCACTTACAGTCACATGATCACACTAGGATCCAACCTGACCATCACAATCATTCAATTTCACTGTACTATTGAGTAAGCTACCTTCAAAAGGACCTGTAATTTGCTTGACTTCAAAAGTAAACTGAAAGATGAACAACAAAATACGTGGTGTTGGAATGTCCTGCACTAACAAGGTCTTTGGTAGGATAACTTGACTAATAACATTTAGTACAGTATGTAGTTATATGATTTTCACTATCTTTCAACCATTCATGTTTGTTACTGTGTAATTGGTCATTTTCATTAACTTCGTAATAATTTGTTTTTCTCTTGGTCTCACATTATTATCCGAACGCCTAAACTCTCCTTCCTTCTCCTCTGCAAATTCTACCAATACCTCGCTTAAAAAACCCCTGCTGAAGAAGACTGTTAGGTCGAAATGTGTACAGGGTTGCCTTTCCTACTCATATTCAATCTCTCGCTCCTATATCCTCGCCTTTATCGTGTACCACAAAATATTTCACCCTTTTTTAGTTGGAGGCCAGTATACAAAATATTTCACCCTATAATCGTACTTTCCATAGTTTATTACGTATGTGTTCAACATAGGAGTCGGAGTAAATACAACCAATTTTCAATACTGGTCCTCTTATTATTTAGGCCACACAATGTCTTACACCAGTACTTGTCCAATTACCTATTTTACACCATAAATTGTCTAAAATATGGCCTGGTTAAGGCCAAATTTTAGAACAGAATCTGATGCTCAGAACGCAGGAAACGCATTTCCGGGGTATAAATTTCAAAAATTTTTGCATTGCTTGAGCTGCTGGCCTTCGTGTTTTGACATAAGACTCGACAGTGTCAATAGTCGCACAAGGTACAGTAGGTGTTCATTATCACTACTCCAATGTAATGAACTTTCATGTATACTTTCTCTGTCTACTGTAGTGCTCTTGTGAGTGTTGATTTGGGGGCATTTTAAATGCTATCTAATATTTCTGAGTGTTCAGTATAGCTTTTCACACGAGAAATTAATTCGGAGTTGCTGCCTGATATTTTAGCACCCTTAACTGTTCTCAGAAATGCAATACAATCCTTCTTGGTCCACTCGTTCACATTACGCATATTAGACATTTTACTGCACTTTAACAAGTATGTTTGCTACTGTATATTAATGTATTTATTGCTGTATCACGAATTGCTGCAGCCTGAGACGAAACATTTAACTCGCACAGGCATTACAGCTTTGTGGCGACCATGGTCTGAAAAATGAAGAAAAAAACTTTTATTTTATGCGGTAGGGTTGTATTATTCTCAAATTACAATAAAACAATGGTATATGACGACCGAAGATTGAATAGAATTACTGTAGTTGCCATAACAAATGTGCAGTTTAGGTTGAAAGATCGTCCTTAAAAATAAACAAGCCATTCTTACCTCGAGTCGTCGACGAAGCGACTTCGCACTTTCAATGCCAGTTATCTTCGAAACGTATGAAAATTATTAGCTAAAATTTGTACTTAGTAAAGTTCAACTGATATTTTTTGTACTAAGCCAAATTTTATGATATTCCGTGAAATAAAACCGCGAAAATTCAGCTCAAACGTAGTAGCTTTCCTCGATGCCAAATCTAATTTTGTAACTTTCGTTTTGTTGTTGTCCTTCTGCCTCGCGCGGTTTAGTACCCAAATAAGGCCTGGTTACGTAGCGTGAGAATTGGTAATTGTTTTAGTTAATATAGCCATGATATCTTCTGAGAATTTGATTCGAAACTTTACTATATAATCTTTCAATTTGTTAAACTAATATTTTAATAGTTAATTAAATCAGGTAATTATCCCCGAGGCAACGGCGTGTCACCAATTGCGTGCGCAAGACACACTGGGAAGGCGCATCTAATAAGAGTATCCGCTGAATGTTTTGTCTAAGGCCGCGGGTCAATGATGCGTCCGACTATCAATGAGGAGTCCGACTGTCTACGGAAAAAAAAATTGCGGCGCCGAACGCCGTTCCGGGCGTCAGCCAGGGGCGAGGGTACTAATTCCCCCGTCTATTTACACCCGGTGGAGTGATGCAATAATACTGTTCAAAAAAATATAAACTACAAACTTTTGGATGATATCCCTATTTGATTTTCCTGAATTCACATCATTCTTATATGCTTTAACTAAATTTTAACATCTGTGTAGTCGCTGCTGTACGTCAATGAATTCTTGCTTGGCCAATTAAAACTCATGCCACTATGCGCCATCGATCGGGGGTTTTACCCCAATTACCACATCAGATCAATGGTTTGGGCAATCATCTAGATCTGGTTCGCGTGCACGTGGTGACGCATGAAACGTTGGTGTAGAATCATATAATTCATCTTTCCAGAATAGTCCGCTTGGCGATAACGATTGTAATTGTATCTTACTAGCAGGTGATCATAGGATCAGTAACCACAATGGGAATGTCCCTGAAAGAACTGGACAAAATATATACTGTAAATAAAAGCGTATCAGATACTAATAACCTAATTCAACTTCAAATAACAAGAGCTCCAGATATCCGTATTCCACCATATCAGGCATTTACAAACTATGTGGCTAGTATTCGAACGGTAAATATGGAAAATTGTGTCAGAATTAAAATAAATAAAATGCAAAATGCAAATTTTTTCTTCCAAACATAAATTGCAGCGTTTTGATCCCCCTGTGTATGAAATAGCGTGTTTTAAAATTGACCATTTGATGGTATAATCCTGATTGTTTTCTTTTAATTTGCAAATATGTTTAGAAAGTTTTTACTTAAACTGTCTGTACCAGTGTTAGTAGTACCAATGTGAAAATGCTGTGCTGAGTGGTTATATTACTACCTTAAAAAATAAGCAGAAACTCGACGTTTCGAGGGAAGGCCCTTCGTCAAGAGTTAGTAGCAGGGATCGGGGAAAATGCACGGGCTTTTATACTAAGAGTATGAAAGTATCACGTGACAAAAAATAAACCAATTAGATGGATTTAATCATAACAAGGTGTAAAACAAAATACATGACATGTCTTCTGGTTTGTCTATGATGTCATCTGTCCTTGCCTGTCTATAGCAGACATTGACAACCTCTATTTATTACTTTTACTTTTACCTTATTCCCACTCGTGTTTTGTTTTGATTATTTTTTGTAGTAATTGTCTTAACTTTCTGTTTATTTTTATATTTTTAATTATATTATATTCTTTAATGCGATTTACATATTTTGTTTTACACCTTGTTATGATTAAATCCATCTAATTGGTTTATTTTTTGTCACGTGATGCTTTCATACTCTTAGTATAAAAGCCCGTGCATTTTCCCCGATCCCTTCCAGTAACTCTTGACGAAGGGCCTTCGCTCGAAACGTCGAGTTTCTGCATGCTTATTTTTTAAGGTAGTAATATAACCACTCAGCACAGCATGTTTCGAAAGTTCCGTTTTGCTTGAGTCTTTTTATGACGAAATTAAAAGATGAACGCCCGTATTTTAAAAGCTCACTCACACTCACACTCAATGAGTGAAGGTTCAATCTGAGCTTTTCTTGAGTGTCAATGCTGTTTTTGAATAGTGGAGGGTGAGTAATCACATAGTAAGGTACGACACTAACCCTCAAGCTATTCAAAAACAGCAATGACATTCGAGAGAAGCTCAGATTAAACCTCCACTCATTGAGTGTGAGTGTGAGTGAGCTTTTAGAATACGGGCGGAAGTGTGATTAGCATGACGTTCCTTAAATGTAGTCCCTGTCATACCAATATAGTGTTTAGTGTCGCTCGTGTTGTTTGTTGTGACTGTGGCTTTGTAAATAATGTTGTTGTTCATTCATTGTTTCGGCAGTGGGCAAGTGTTTTTGTTGTCGCAGTTACAGTTGTCAGTTTCCGTATTCTGTGTTTGGCTGTGACTAATTATATGCGCGTTGTGTTTGGTGATTATAGACTTAACGTTGTTGATGCAACTATAGCTTAGTTTTAAAGTGTTTCTGTTGAAAATCTTGTGTAGTTTGTGCTGTAGTGGAAAGGTTTGTCAATTAAACTTAAGAATTCCCGTCCTATGTAAGCTATGGTCGTGTTAACATTCTTACTAAATGGTAGGTTGAACCAAATTATGTTCGTGTCCGTTGCGATGCATCCTGGGTGTACGTAAATTCGTGATCAAAGTTACTACAGTATGTCTAAGGGCATTCTGGTAAATAGGCGTAGATTCCTTAAATGCTTGTTCGTCCGATGGAGAAGTGCAACGCGTTTGTTGATAGCCGTAGGTAATTGTCTTGTAATGCTTGGTGGGTGGTTTGAATGTCTGTTGATGTACCGAATTGATCGTCATTGGGTTTCCTGTATGGTTTGTGTTTTGTGTTGTTCAGGTGTTAAATATTAACATATAAAAAATTTACAACGTTCAAATTTACTTCGGCGGTGATTTTCAGGTCAAATTGCTCGAAAATTTTGTGTAACTCTTTTCTAGTTTTGTCTAGTAAACGGGCGGATTTGCTTTTTATAATAGGCAAACCGTCATCTCTATTAATCAATCCCGCAAAAAGCGAATCCGGAAAACTAAGTAAGGTTATTTTAGACAAAATCAATTCCAATTTGAGACAAAAACCAAATTCAAATCAATGGAGGAATACGCAACAAGTAATTTAATGGGTAGCTTCGACGGCGCTGAATTTAGTGAGTTGGTAGGCCTTTTCATTTTAAATCACTTAGGTAATAGGAATTAAGGGTAAGAGGTTTCCCTAAGTGATTTAAAAAAGAATTAAGGGTAAGAGGTTTACCTAAGTGATTTAAAATGAAAAGGCCTACCAACTCATAAATTTCAGCGCCGTCGAAGCTACCCATTAAATTACTTGTTGCGCATTCCTCCATTGATTTGAATTTAGTTTTTGTCTCAAATTGGAATTGATTTTGTCTAAAATAACCTCACTTAGTTTTCCGGATTCGCTTTTTGCGGGATTAATTAATCGGCATTTTCGATTGTTCTCACTCTCCTCCGCAGAGCCTTACGAATTTTTGGTAAAATTACGTAATATTACTTGGAAAACAAATTACGTAATTGTTAGTAAAAACGCGCTAGGTATGGTGGGAAGAAGGTAGTTACTTAAGGCTCTGTGGTTCTGGGATAGGGCCATAGAAATAATAGACATAGAATGCGTGCTCCTATCTTTCCTCAGTGAAAAAATTGTCTCCACAAAATGGCGCGAGCAGAGAGCATAGAGCATGCGCATGACGTGTTGTTAGCATCGGTATTGGTTTCGGAAGTCGAACTTAAACTCTCTATTTTACCCTATAGGGGGTCCTATCTTGGTTACCATGGCAACAAAAAAATGTACAAGAGTGATTTTGAGTCGGCCACCCATATTCCATAATATTTGAGTAGAAAATGAGGGAAAAGTATTAAATTAGGAAAAAAAGTTTTCAATGTATAAGACCAATTAAGTTGGAAAAATTCAGGTAAATCTAACTTTACCACTCCCCCCCCCCCCCTGCAGAGGCAAAGTCCTAGCAACGGCCCTGAATATGTTCGCTATTTGCTATATATATACTTTATATGTTAGTACTTCTGCTTCACATTTCACATTTCTAGAATATATACAAATCTTACCAGTGAATAAAAATATTCTTCTTGTACAACCCGTTCATGTACGAGCAGTGTAAAAAGGCAGGACTCTCGACGTTGTAAACTAACCAAAGTATAGGAGAATAATATCAGAATTCTCAGTGCAATTTCTACTTCAAACACAAGCAAAATCTTAAAATGTTTGCGCTTAAACCAGGGGGGTGAAATACATCGCCAAAAGCTTTGGATCGCGGTTGAGACAGTGTGCCATGAATCTAGGGACCAGTAGTCATGGCAAAGGCGTAAGATCCTCATGTTTTTGGCTTCACTTTTTTGTGCCGAGCAGGTACTTCTGTAATATAGTATAGCTCATGCAGTGGTGCATACGTATGCCCGTCTGGTGGTTAGATATGAAACGAGACCGCGGTTGGTCAGACCATGCTGTAAGTTGGCACACTCCAGCTGTTGACCTGTCGGCAAAATCTGAATTTTTTAAAATTACGTTTTTAAGATACAAAATGGTGTATATTTGCATTTTGTGATTACAGATTATTCTTTTGAATAAAATGATGAATTCTTTATGTGCTGCATTTTGTTTTGCTGCATTACTGCGTGCTTCTTTCACATCAATTTTTCATTTCTCAACAATTTCTTTATAGCACTGCATTGTCCACTGCTCAACCAGACAACCACTTCAAAATTAAGTGCATTTCGGCGGCAAAAGTAACATCAGTCTCGTTTTCGTGTGTGAATCATTGAGTTTAACAAATGTTAAATACTCGAAATCGAGGCTCCATAACCAAAGTAACGTACTTTCAGCAGTGTGTATTTGAACATATATATCTCATGATGTCTAACCATGCAAGGCAAGATCTATACAATACAACAAAACGTTTGGTGTTGTGTCCACTTTCGTGCCTAGTCTTATCCATGGCGAAATTGGCAAACTTATAGTTCGTGAAAGCGAGGTTCTATAACAAACATACTGCAGGGAAGTGAGTCTGGGATTGGATGCTGCGAGGATGGCTGGAAGTTTCGCGTGCGAGGTGGGTTCGGGAACTTCCAGCCAACCGAGGTGCGTCCAATCCCGGACTCACGGAACCTGCAAGTTTGTCGGTTTTTATCACGTTGCATTTCGGTAAAAAGTACTGACGAATTTACGCATTTTAGTTTCTTGCTTTTAGTTTCATAATTTTTCGCTTGGATAAGAAGCATTTTAGCCGTCAACATACTGTACCACGCAAACAAATAAACTTAGGCTTAAAGTGAAACCGAAAATTCTCTACAACATTAATTATAATTTATTAATTATAATTAATATTATACCGCATATACACAGACTTACATAGTAGTCTACAATTTACAACTATATATAGCTCATTATTTTGTCTAAACGAACTTTTCAGATATTGATGAATGTGATGTTGGAAGTGCCAATTGCCATGGTAACGCTACATGTACAAATACTGTTGGTTCATTCACTTGTGCCTGTGATAATAAGTTCACTGGAGACGGGATTGTGTGTTCTTCTGTTGATACCGGGCCGTCGGGTTAACCAGACAGGAAAATCCGATTATTTGTTTTATTATTGATACACTGAGTTTATTCATTTTAATAAAATGATGAATATTTATGTACTACATTATTTTGCTGCGTTGTTCCAAGACCACTTTTCTTCAATTTCCTACTTACCAATTTCCTAAGATAACTCAGTAGTGCATGCCTACGGCCGCCGAGAGGTTGCGCGGGGCGGGCGCAAAACTTTCTCAGGGAGCCCCTATGAAAACAGGGCAAACGGTGTTTTTTAAACTATAATATATTACACTTTATTGTAAATTATCAAGTTAGGATTAACTTGAACATGAATTCGGAAAACATAACGACCAATCTGACCGTGGATGTTTAGTTGAAATTTTAACGCACGGTTGCAATTAAACTATTGAATCAAAAAGCTTTCATGTGTACAAACAGGACTGCCGATATAATCCCTGGGGCCTGAGGAAAATCTTTCCTGGGGACCCCATGACATCATTACTTTTAAGCTATACCCAACTAGCCGCTAGCCTGCATGTGGAGGTACTGTAAGGGACCCTCAATTTTAAAAATGCTCTGACCAATTTAAAGAACCTACTCAATTTTAGGCTCTCGCTCTCAAGTTGGGGCCTTATTAAGGTGGCGGCCCGGGCAATTCGCCCCCCCCCCCTTACCTCCCCTCTCGGTGGCTTAGATTTGTTGGGCTTAATTCTCTGGTTTCATGAGTCAGAATGGTTACATAATTGCCCTGCTGAATCCAAGGTACCCTTTAATCGCTGTTACGTTGCCTGCTTAATAGTATTTCGCTCATCTGGTGACGTTACGCCATTTCTCAATTACAATTAGAGGAAAAGTAACTGGTCACCCAGGTATCTCATGATCATATTCAAATAATAACCTCTTTCTCCCTTGAATATGAACTGGCTCTTAGAGAAACTTTTATGATCTCTAGACTTCGATTCTCTTTGACTGACAATGGAGGATCAGCTCCTCTGCATTTGATCTTTTAATATTCTTGTCCCATATAATCAAATGTAACCCTACAGCTTGCATATAATTTTGTATTCTTGTTTAACTAACTCAACAGGCCCAATTCGCGTCGATCGTGAGCGATCGACGGCTCGAAATTTCATACTTTCGGTTCAGTGCATGCTATGAAGACAGAAATACCACCATTCGATTCAGAAATAAAATATCAACTAGTTCCAAACGATAGTTATAGTCATTATTAGTATTGTAACGATTTATGGGCCTTTGAAAGTCAAAACGATCATATTGTATCAAATTACGCAATTGTCTGAACAAAAATTACAGATTATTATAGACTAGCCATACCTTTCGCCGAAAATAACTTCGGCCCCATCGAACATATCGTCTTTGTAATAGTCTTGTTCGAATCCCCATTAAATAGTGTTTTTGGAGTGTTATTTGCAACCCTGAATCTACAAATCTGTATCTTTTATCAATATATTTCCATTTCTTGTCCGACTGTGAGCTCGAAGTGAATTAACCCAACCGGAAATACGACTGAAACCCGTAAAAACAATGCGGCGTTTGTATCGTATGACCCTGGAAAGGCCAGAAATGGTTCGCAAGGTCAAATTGCACCTACACGCGTGAGTTTGACGTCATCCCGGCCAAAGGAGCTTCTTATTGGCCAATTATTGCGCAATGTACGCAAGTGCGAGTAAAACCCGACATCTTGAAAAATTCAAAATAAATATTTCTAGTCGGCGTATACATACGAAACTTTCTACACGAAAGCGCTTGAATACAGAGAGTATTTTACACGTATAGCCGTTCAGCAAATGACGAAAAGTTCAAGGGGTATTCAAGATATTGTGGATATGAAATTTAGAATCTTTGGTCAAGCGGTGAGTAAATATATGATTGTTTCGCTTTGTGTAATGTTTTGACGGCACTTGACCCCCCGTTCGAAAGGTTATTTTATGAGGATTTCAATGGTGGCATTTATTTAAAAGGGGGGTAAATACTCGCCGAGATATTTATATTAGAAAAATTGAATCGAAATGTAATGCGAAACCGGCCTGTCAAGAAAGAGTTTTAAGAACAACAAGACGCCTACTCAGGCGTTCACACTGACCTGAAAATCATGATATGCGTGCTATGGTGCAATCTCGTTCCCTGAGCCTGCGGTCCTTGGGAAGGAAACGAAGGCTCTGGGATAATCCGTTTCAGGGAGGAATCTGATTGGCCGTTGATATGGAATGTGCAGTTCAATCTTAGCCAGAATTCCTGGCTTTCGGCAACGGATTATCCCAGAACCTTCGTTTCCTTCCCGAGGATCGCAGGCTCGGGGAACGAGATTGGCTATGGTGTAATAGACAAGGGAATGGGAAGCAAGAGAGTTCGTATAGAACAGTTTCAGCGGTAGATTTATCCAAAGAAAATTAATAATTCGACAACAAAAAGCAGAAGGCAGAAACTATTTGAAACCTAATTAAAGTTGCGCTTTTGCACAAGTAACAAACCTTCATAGGAAAAAAATAAAAATATAAAATGAGACATAGGTAACATCTCTTGTGCTTTAATCACATTTAGTTTAATGTCAGATACTTAGTAATAATATTTATAGATAGTATCTCAGGTTCACACCGAAAATCACGTGACCATATTGAACTTTATCAAATCATAATCGTGGATCATTTCTGAGTAGTGAAGCAGTCAGATATAATATATCATTGTCTTCTTCGCCTTTCAGTTGCCTTGAACGATACGTTTTTGAAGAATGGAGATTTTGCGCTACGCAGTATTCCATGATCATGTTCCAATATTGATATAAGAATTAATGAGCACATGATAACAAATGAGCACATAATAGCTAGGGACGGACCATTAGAAAAATGATGGGGGTGGGGGTAAATTTTTTTTGTTTGCATTTTTTTTTCCAGGTTGTCAGCTGTGTATGCATGTTTTTTTTAAATATGTCTTCTCGCATGCAATTTTTTTCCAGTACAACTATACAAATGTTAACGAAACTGTTCTCTTGACAGAAAAATATCCCTTTAATACACACTGCAGAATTATATCTTTAAGCACCATATATGGACAAGTTTTCTAGGGGTCCAGGGCATGCTCACCCGGAAAATTTTTGAATCTAAATTCTCTGAAATACCATTTCCCGGACTTTGGGGAGAGATTTTACAGAATTCTGATGGTCAGGAAACGCCATTGTAACATATCAGGGGCCCTTGGCCAGTGTTTTTGCTCTATAGCCTGAGCCTGGGGCCCCCCATTTGCTGGCCCATTGGAGTTGGTGGCCCCCGGATTCTCCCGGTCCGAGCCCATAGTAGTTACGCCACTGAGGACAGTGGCAGTGTGAATGAGAATTAATTATTAAATACAATAGAAAATATTTTGATAGTATATAATAAAACTACATAAGAGTTACTGTTAATATTGAAAGAAATTGCATATTAATATATTATATATTTTGATATATTTATATTCTGGAATATTCCAGGGATTTAGTTTAGTTTTGTCTGGTGTACATTTAAAATTAAAGTTCTATTGTTGTTCTGTTTGTAATTTTTTTTTAAACAAGTCTGTTTGCATGTATTTTTTTTCAGACCTTTTTTGTTTGCATGGATTTTTTTTCTGTTTTTTCCCCACCCTCCCCATCACTTTTCTAATGGTCCGTCCCCTATGAGTTGAGTTGTATTAGGAAATTGAGAACCATACAATAAATGTCTTAGTTCTTGTTGGTATTTCACTGAACGCACGCTTTATCTTTACTTGCGCCAATTCTAGTAGCTACTGCGCGAATTTGAATACATGTATTATATATGGCGCGTTTTTACTGTCAAAATTCAATAGGTCCAATAGTTATAAGTCGAACACCAAATCACCAATGATACAAATCGGGCAACCCTTACTCGAATCGAGCAGACTGATATGTAAATCGATTATTGAAATGATCAATACACATTCAAAACGAGCAAACAGTATAGCCAAATCGAACGACTATTCCTTGTCTATATTATATTGTGAACTAAATGTTATTGTATTAGGCAAATGAGAACCATGCAATAAATGTCTCGGTATTTTGAATGCAAGCTTTATCTTTACTACTTGCTCGAACTCTAGTAGCTACTGCGCGAATTTTAATACATGTATTAAGGTATATTGTCAACATTTTGTAGGTGAAAAGAATTGGCTAGTTTACATTGTTCATTATATTATGAAATATGATACTAGTTAAAATTCGCGTCGAGCTAAATGTTATTGTATTAGGCAAATGAGAACCATACAATAAATGTCTTAGTTCTTGTAGGTATTTTGAAGGCACGCTTTATCTTTAGTATAGCTACCACAAAGCGTTTGGCGCGCCAACTAGTAGCTACTGCGCGAATTTTAATACATGTATTAAGGTATGTTGTCGACGTTGTGTAGTGAAACTGTCAAACCTTTAACTTTTCCTTGTTTATATTGTGTTTATATTATATTGTGAACTAAATGTTATTCTATTAGGCAAATGAGAACCATACAATAAATGTCTTAGTTCTTTTTGGTATTTTGAACGCTCGCTTTATCTTTACTTGCGCGAATTCTAGTAGCTATTGCGCGAATTTCAATACATGTATTTTAATATGGTCAAACCTTTAACTTGCACTTGTGAACTAAATGTTATTGTATTAGACAAATGAGTACCATACAATAAATCAAAATAAACTGTAAAATCTTTAATTAACTTGTACTTGCTTATATTCCACTATATTGTACAAATTCGCGTCGGGTCCAAATTTTGGGGTTTTCGAGTCGTTTAATACAACATATAGATTGCATAAATCCGCCGGGTCGGCCAAATTTTCCAGTATGGAATGCTGTATTTCTGTGCACCGCACACGTTAGTCAGCGGATACGATTGTGCACCAAAAAAGGGTTGTCATGTGCACCTTAAAATTTATCGATTTTAGTTCGGCTGGGGGGGGGGGGGATGAAGCATTTTTTGTGAAATATTAATCAGCCATTAGTCCATTGTATTGCTATTGCCTTTCATTTAAAAAATAAGACGCATCATAATTCTTTAGTTTATATAATGCTATTCAATTTGAAAACTGAGAAATAATCAAGATGAGTA